CGAGGCTGCTCCTTGGAGGCAAGGATTCTGAAACTTTGTCTGACATTCTTTGGACATGTTGCAAGGTGGGATCAGTCCTTGGAGAGGGACGTCATGTTTGGGAGCATAGAGGGACAGTACAAGAGACGAAGACACTTGATGAGATTGATTGATTCGATCACTAAGCTAATGGGGATAGGTGTGTTGGAGACAATAAGATTGGCAAGGGAGAGAGAGCAAGGTTTAGGACTGTTGTACATGGGGTCACTATGTATGAGTCACAGGCGACTCAATGTCACATAACAACAACAATGAAGACAATTCTGTATTTTAACCATTGTGTAGTTTATCAATGAATATTCATAGCAACATTATTCATGATTGGAGAGGATAAATAAAATGTGGCATCAGGATTGGAGGAAGAATGATCAAATATCTACATTATGCAGATGACACAAATTTGCTTGCTGAAACTGAGAAGGACCTGAAGCGTTTGCTGCAGATGGTCAAGGACTGTAGTCTTCAATATGGATTGAATCTTAACATCAAGAAGACAGAGATTCTCACCACTGGGCCAATTGGCAGCACCGTGATAGATAGAGAAGAGACTGAGATTGTTAACAATTGTAGCTTGCTAGGCTCCATAATCAACACTTTTGACACCAGCAGAAATAAAAATACAAATTGTTCTAAGGAAAGCTGCTGCCAGGGACCTCTCAAAATTTCTGAAGAACAACAGTGTCAGTATGGAGAATAAGGCATGCCTGATTTGGGCCATGGTCTTTGCAGTTACTTGATATGCATCTGAGAGCTGGACAATGACTGAAGATGACAGAAATATAATTGATACTGTGAGTTGTGGTGCTGTAGATGAGTATTGAACATATACAGACTGCCAAGAGAACAAACATGTTTATTCTAGAGAGGGTGGAAACTAGGCTGGTCCTGAGAGGCAATGATTTTGAAGCTCTAGTTTGGGAATGTTGTCAAGAGGGCCCAGACTCATCCTTGGAGAAGGATATCATATACAGTGCAGGAGAAGACAACTCTGGATGAGATGGATTGATGCACTAGTGAGATGGGGTAATGGGGTAGTATGTTGGAGACAGTGAGACTCGTTCAGGATAGAGCGGGGTTCAGAGCTGTTGTACATTAGGGCTCTATTAGTCACAGGCAACTTGATGGCACATAATAACAACAACACCTTTTCTATAGGATATAATATTGTTTAGCAATGATGTACTTCATTCTACACTACATCTCATTCCATAGTGAATGAACTTCAAAAATAAGCTAAATAAACCAGTCTGAAAAGTTATCCTGTGTTATTACATCTATATGAATATTCAGAATATGCAAATTTATAAAGATAGGAAGTAGTTAGCTACTTCTTGTGAGCAGAACTTGGGGGACAGACGCAGAGTGACTAGTTAGTGGATGGAGAATTTTTTTGGGAAAGTGGCAAATGTTCTAAAATTAAACCTGGGTGATGGTTGCAGGGTCCTGGATATATTAAAACCATTGAACTGTGTACACTTTTAATTGGTGATATATATGATGTGTGATTTCTGAAATATATCTCAATAAGACTGCTGGGGAAAACCCAATTTGTGCAGAATAGAAAGCTAGTTTCTTCAATATATAAATCACAGCTACAAACACATAAAAATAACAAAACCCCAATGGAGAAAAAAAAACCAAATAGAAAAGAAAAAGTTACAAACAATTCTTAAGTGTATGGAAAATTACCTTAACAGATATTATAATCCTTGGATATCAAGGCCTTTATTGAAAATAATGTAGTATTTGCATATAACCTATGACCATTTTCTCCTATACTTTCAATCACTTCTAGATTACTTACGTAACTAATATAATGTAGATGCTGTGTGGCTAGCACTCTAAGCTCCTCCTCGTCTCTGGAGGGGCTCTGGCAGCCTAGTCAGTAGGGAGTTGTGCTGATAACCCAAAGGCTGGCTGTTAGAATCCACCTGCCACTCAACTAGAGAAAGATGAGGCAATCTCCTCCTGTGTGATTCAAAATTCTCTGGAGGGTCGGCCGTTAGTTAGTTCTGACTTGACAGCAGTGGGTTTTCAGGTCTTAGTCTTCGGGAGAGTAATTGTTTTCTAGAGCATTTCCTGATTACAGTTGGAATCTGCAGATGCAGAAGATGCCAATATGAGCGCTGACTGTACAAAGTTTTACACTGCAGTGGGGTGTGCCATCGTGGAAGTCAGTAGTGATGACTTCAGTGGAAGTGAAGTAGTGATGGTCCCTACAGACTGAACGCTGTGTGATCCTTACGCATAATGAAGACACTTTCTTTGTGCTGATGTGAGAAAATCCCTAGGATAGGAAGCCAGTTGTCTCACTGCGATTTCAACTCAAGGCAACCCATGTGCTACAGGGTAGAACTGTGTGCTTCACTACGTTTTCGTGGTTATGACCTTTCAGACTTAGATTGTCAGGCCTTTCTTATGAGATGTTCTAGGTGGACTGAAACAACCAATCTTTCAGTTAGCAGTCAAGCACTTAACTGCGCTTCCCTAGAATATAGTATGCAGCTTAAAAAAGGCAGAATCAAGTTTATGATGGGTTCATAAAGAAGCACTGGTGGCCTTGTGGCAAGGAGTTACCCCTCCAGGACAAAGGCACAAGGCTGGAATCCACCACATGCTTAACCACAGAAAAATTCTCAGTTTCCTTCTTTGCAGTTTTACAGCCTCTGAAAACTCTTTAGAGGGTCAGCTATGAGTTAGCTCTTTTTTTCTGTTTTAATTTTTAAATTAATTTCTTTTTTCCCTTGTTTTGTATCGTCTAATCAGATCCACCTGGCACAAGAGGAGATTGCCCCTCCTTGTCCTATGAAGCATCTGGTGGATTCAAATCGCCAGCCTTCAGGATTGCAGCACAACTTCATGCCACTAGGCCACCAGAGCTCCCTTAAGTCACTTCTTAACAACAGGAGTCAAATAGCCTCATGGGTAAAGAGTTGAGCTACCAAGCCAAAGGCACAGGGTTTGAGTCCACCAGCTGCCCGCAGGACAAAGATAAGCACTCTCCTCCCAGGGAATTTACACCATCTGAAAACTTGCTGAAGGGTCAGCGATGAGTCGGTTCTGACTCACTACAGTATTTTGGAGGACTCTGAAGATCAGAAAGGGCATCTTCTCGGCCTTGTGGATCCAAATCTCCTGTGTTTACTTCCTATTCTTTAGGCACGACCCAAAGGTGAAGGTCTAACTCCATACCAGGGCAAAAAGCGCTGCTTCGGAGAATACAAGTGTCCCAAGTGCAAAAGAAAATGGATGAGCGGAAACTCCTGGGCCAACATGGGACAGGAGTGCATCAAGTGCCACATCAATGTCTACCCACACAAGCAGGTAAGTAGGACGGGACTTGAGCTTGGGCTGGTTTAGACCTCGATTTGTAGGCGGGACCTGCGAGTGGGTAGGGCTGCACCAACGCCTGTGCTTGGGGGTAGTGGGCGGGCCTGAGTGTGGGCGGGACCTGGTTAGGGGCAGGATCTGTGTGGGGAGGGCCGGGCATTGGGCGGGCCTGAGTGTGGGCGGGGCCTGCCTAGGGGCAGGATCTGTGTGGGGAGGGCCGGGCATTGGGCGGGCCTGAGTGTGGGCAGGGCCTGGTTGGGGGCGGGACCTGTGAGGGGAGGGCCGGGCTGTGCGCAGGTCTTACTGGGCAGTGCACGTTGAATCTGTGTGGCGGTCTCTGTAGCTGTTCTTTGAAGTGACCTTCCCTCTCTCTCTGGGCCCCAGGTAACTCAGTCAAACGGTAAGAGTGAGACTTCAAAGTTTTCCCTTTTTGTTCCCTTGTCTCATATGAAATAGGGAAGAGAGGCTGCCCCTCCAGGAAAGACAGTAGGTAAATGGGGCAAAAGCTCTTCGCCCCTGAGATCAGAGGCCCCAGATGAATTAGAAGGAACTTGGTGGAGTGTCCGGTAACAGAGCGGATGTGAGAGCACCAGGGAGCTGCAAGAAGCGTGAAAGTTGTTTTGTGTGTCAGTCATTTATTTGTCAACAACACGTGTTTGCTGTAATTGCTGCGCGCCACTCGCGGTGCCCAAAGAGATGGCCAGGGCAGATGTAGACCCTGTCCTGATGGTCAGGGTCCAGGCAGCTAGCCCTAGGATGGATGTCTTTAAGACGGGCTGGTAAGAGAAAGCTGATCTTAGGAGGTGACATAATCCAAGGAGAGGAAACCAGCCCGTGCACAGGAATGGCCACTCTGAAAAGAGAGAATGGCAGGTGCAAATGCCCTAAGGTCATTCACTTGTGCTGCTCTGGACCCAAAATTCAGTGACAGAGCAGAAGAGAAGAGTGAGAGGAGGGGTAGGCCCTTGAGCTTCAGCAGCTAAGAGATGGCCCTCAGACTTTGTGGAGCCTCCTTTTCACCTGGAAAATGCATTGAAATACAACAGCGTTTGAGACCATTGAGGCCAGATAGGATGGCGTGAAGCAGCTGCCCTGTTGGCTGAGCAAGGGGAAGACTAGAGGGTTTGTGGAGAACACAAGAAAAATGTGACAGTAGCTGGAGCAGGGCAGAAAGGGGGAGTGCTCTGGACCTTGATAGCTGGGAGGACCTAGGATGCTCTGCATGCTGATGAGAATGATCCAGAAAAAAACCCAAAAGGCTAATAGTAAGGACTTCCTGGTTAGTGATAGTCATGGACCTTACAGGAAGATAGTATATTATATGGGACATGGAAATCTTCCCAATGGGACCACTCCCGGACCTCAATCTGGGTGGCTCTTTGTTTGATCCTTGTTCCAGTAATAAAACTCTAATTGCCATGAGTCTCAGGAAAGAGAGAAAGTTGCTTATGGCCAGAGGTATGGGGTCCAGGATGGGAAGTTCTACCTGCCTTCCTCATAGCTGAGAAGACGGATACCTGAAAGTGGTCCACACCTGGTGTATACCTAGAAGCTATTCATGGTCCCCCATTGAGAATTCTCAACTGAATGGCATGTGTTTACATGGGAAATATATTTGGACCCAAATGAAAATAAACCCATTGCTGGTGAGTCAGTTCAGATAGCATGACCCTATAGGACAGGGCAGAATTATATAGAGGGTATCCAAGGCTCTAAATCTTCCTAGAAGCCAAATGCCACATCATTCTCCCCTGGAACGGCTAGAAGGTTCAGCTTGACAACCTTCTAGTCAGCAGCTGACTGCTTAACCACTGAAACACCAGAGCTCCTATTTGGACCGTTATGGAACAAAATTGGGGCAAGGAAGTCAGAAACACTTTGGCTAGGGGCTTGTCTCATGCCTGTGATATCAGCTGGGACCACTGGAGTTGAAGGATCTACTTCCAAGATGATTTCTTCACTCACATGTCAGGCTGTAGCAATAGTACCTAACACATTTTGTGTGTTGTTGTTGTTCTGTGCCACAGAATCAGAACTGACCCAAAGCTGACCCTCCAGTAGATGTTCAGAGGCAGTAAAATCACACAGGAGGAGACTGCCTACCCTTCTCCCATAGATCAGCTGGTGGATCCAAACCACATGCCTTCAGGTTGACAGCACAGCTTCTTCCCACTGGACTACCTGAGCTCCCCTGCACATTTCATATACTCACTGAATACTCCAAGGGGGAAATGAGACTGATGATCCAGGGGAGAAGAGGGACACTTTACTCCACAGCACAAGGCGGGAAGTGAGGGCAGGGACAATTAGACTGGATGGTGCCAAGAAGAGAAACTTCCATCAGGACTGTGGTTTTCATGTAAAATGGGGGAGAAGACTGTCAAGGTGCAAGTGAGGGTGAGTGGAGTGTGATGGCCTTGAGGGGGGAGAAGTGAGGAAGCAGGATTGCTAGAGAAATCTAGGGGCTACCAAGTAGCACTCCAGTCAGAGGAGGTCTGAGACCACAAACATCATCATTACCTGGTACTCAGGGTCCCGACCACAAACATCATCATCATACCTGATACTCAGGGTCCTGCCAGCAGTGTTCATTGTGTGGGTGCCAGCATGTGGGTGCATTGTGTAGTGGCCCTAGGGACCCTCAACAGGAGAGTCCACACAGTCAGAGCGTTGCAGCCTAGTGTTTCAGAAGGAAAGAAGGCCAAGGAATTAGGGATATTTGTGATAATGAGGTGGTAACTCCTAATCCTGGACTCCAGTAGGTTGCAGGGAAAGGACCTGATAGGAGGGAGTGAGCTGGGGCAGGTGAGTCTGATGTGAGCAGTGAGCTGGATGGAGAGGTGGAGGGAGACAAGAGGGAGTTTGTGCTGGAGGTTCCAGAAGTGGATCATTTCTTAGATCTAGTTCTGGATGATTGAAATTGTCAGTGATTTTTATCTTACTCAGATCCACGGTCTCACCCTTGCTGCCAGCAATCAGGACATCAGGAGGCATATTGCACTGCACATCTTCTGACAGAGACCTCTCCAAATTACTGAAGAACAATGATGTTATTTGAAGACTAAGGTGTGCCTGATTCAGGCCATGGTCTTTTAAATCAGTTGCTATGCAGTGATAATGAATAAAGATAATGAATAAGGATGACAGAAGAAGAATCAATGTCTTTGAATTATGGTTTTGGAGAACAGTCCTGACTATCCCATGAACTGTCAAAAGAACAAATACATCTTGGAAAAAGTATGACCTGAGTGGTCCTAGGAAGTAAGGATGACAAAGCTTCATCTTACACACTTTGGACATGTTGCTAGGAGAGGCTATTCCTTAGAGAGAGACATCATGCTTGGAAAGGTGGAGGAGGGTCAGCAAAAGAGATGAAGACCCTCAGTGAGAGAGATTGACATAGTGACTGCAGCATGAGCTCAGGTATTTGGGAGATTGTGTTTGGCACAGGACAGGACAAGGTTCAGATCTGTTATTAAGAGGGCCACTCTGAGTCATACTCGATGGTATCTAACAACAAGAAGTCCTGGGTGGGGCTGGTTGGAGGGAAAAGGTCGCTGCTGGTGACACAGTAGACAGGCTAGTAGGGTGGGTGTAAGCTGGCAGAAATAATGGTGAGGAGGCAGGGACAGGAGGGAGCAGGATGGGGGAAGGGTGATGAGGTAGACAGCAGAAACTCTGAAATGTCAGCCACAGAGCCAATTTGTTTTAAAATGTCACTTTAGCCGGCTGAGCCAATTTGTTTTAAAATGTCACTTTAGCCAGTCCAAATCCCTTCCATTTGAGTATTCTATGTGACCCAGAAGGAGAATTGATGCCTTTGAGCTGTGGTGCTGGAGAAGAGTATTGAGAATACCATGGACTGCTAGGAAAACAAACAGATTCATCCTGGAAAGGGTTACACCGGGTGGCTCCTTGGAGGCAAGGATTCTGAGGCTCCGTCTAACATACTTTGGACATGTTGTAAGAAGGGACCGGTCCTTGGAGAAGGACATCATGCTGGAGAGGGTGGAGGGCAGGAGTAGGAGGGGAAGGCCCTCTGGGAGGTAGATTGATTTGGTGACTGGGGTTATGGGGATGGGAGTGTCAGAAACAGTGCGATTGGCACAGGACAGAGCAGAGTTTAGGGCTGTTGTGCATAAGGTCTCTATGAGTCGCAAGCGACTCGACGGCACATAACAACATGTGGCCCAGAGTAGAGTGTGTCAGATGGAGAATAGGTTGTGGGGTGGAGGTGGCCCAGCCCCAGCCTGGCTTCCTTCTTTCTGAGTCTTCAGTGGGCACCCACTGCATAAGGAGCATGTGGTCGCAGAGGCTGGAACTGGGGGCTTTCGCCCAGGCTTCATCTTCCTGCTATGTGGCCTGGACCTCAAGCTCCCTGTCTGTTAAACAAGGGGTGGACATTTCACCAAGCCTTCACTGATCCCCTGCTCTGCCCCAAGCACCATTGGCTGTGTGCCCTCCTGGAGCCCAGGTTGTCCTGGGAAGGATAGAAAACCAAATGTGACAAGGTCTTTGCCAACGGTGAGAATAGTGGGAGAGCAGGGTGGTGTGGAAGAGAAGTTCAGCGAGGTATCCTCTCCAGGGTGACACTGGAGTAGGGGTGAGCTGTGCTGGTGGGACAGCCCTGTGATGTGGGAAGCTCGGCTGACCCAAGGGGTCATGAGGAGGTGGAATCAGGCCACAGGCTATGGTTGTTCCTCTGTACTGGAAGTTCCTCCAGGCTCAGGAAAGGAGGGTACTTCAGACCAAGAAATGTGACCTCCAGGCTCTCCTCAGATGGGGCTCTGAGCTGTCATGGCACTGTCTCCAGTCCTAAGGCATAGTCCCTGCCCTTAGGCCCCAGTAATGCCAGGCACAGTCCAGCTTGGACCTCCCCGTCTGTAGAAATGGCCTCATTCTCTGTTTTGCTTGCTTTCCACAGGAGTCCTCTGTGACCACCCCATCTCTGTACTCAGTATCCTAGTCCCCGTCTGTGGTTCTGCTGAGCCTCTGTGCCAGCTCACTGGTGTTCATTGAGCACCTACTGTGTACAACCAGACGTCCCAGAGAGGAGCTGGTACTTGAACTAGGTTACACAGTAGCAGAGACAAGGAAGCTCAAAACCAGAGTCCCTCCCAGTCCCCAGAAAGGTCACAGCTGAGGGGTTGGGGGGTGGTTGTGCCTCATCTCCTCAGCACGTGGGTGCTCCCAAGTCAGGAACCTTTTGTTTGATCCCCACAGGGGAAGGGCCTTGTTTTCCCTGAACCCATGAGCTCTGACCTGCTCACACGCACCTCCTGCGAGCCCCACACATCTTGTTTCCCGTCAGGCTTCAGCTGTGCCTCTCTTGCCTGCCTAGCCCCCCATAAGAAGAAAACACTAACAGGCCTCCTGCCTTGGGGTTTCCAGAGATGGATGAGCAAGCAATCCCAGCTGCTCAGTGTCCACTCTTCAGGGGCAGTGGGGTCCTATCAACCACTTCCCTAGGTCCCCACCCATAGCAGGGTCCAGGTGTCATGCAGTCCAAGGCTGAGTGGCCAGGCCTTGGTGTCACAGAGGTTACTGTCCAGGGGGGAGGGAGGGGCACAAGCCAGAGCTGAGAAGCAGGGAGGGCAAGGGATGGCTGCAGATGTCTCTTTAGGACTTAGCTGCCCCAGCTCCTGGCCAGCCCTCCATCTCCACAAAATCATCGCAACACGTGATCAGAACACTGGCCAGCACCTCAAGTGTGTATGTGCTGTGCAATGTTCTCACTTGGCTGTGTTGCCTATTCCCCATTTTACAGAGGAGAAAATTGAGGCACAGAGGGATGAAGAGACTTGGCAAAGGTCATGCAGCAACTGTGCAGAGTATAATCCTAAAGCTGTTTAGTACTGTTATGACGGTCATCTCACTGGCCTATCTCTCCAACCCCACAGAAACACACTAGAAAACTCTGTGGGGAAGACACAGCGGCGCTAAGCCCCGTTTCAGGTAGTGGCCACTCAGGCTGAGGTTCTGGAGGAGCTCTGACTCGAGTGACAGCCCTGGCCAGCAAGTGGCAGGGCCGGCCTATGAAGCTGCCTGACTAGGGGCCGCGTCGTGTGGAGAGAACACACAGAAGTCCCAGAGAAGAGCATCTGTCTAGAGTACCCTCAGGGCAGCCCGAGCTGGTCCCTAAAACACCCTGTCCTTGGCCTGCTTAGCCCTCTGCCAGCCTATGGTGTGCAAGCCGGGGAAGAAGATGTCCAGCCAGGCTGGAGGAGCCGCTGCCCAGGGACTGGGGAGTCCCAGGGACAGAGCTCTGACTGTGAGGGGCAGTGTGCCACCTCCCAATACAGGGGTGGAAGCAGCCTTGAAGGTGGTATTGTCCTTGGGGTGGAAAGCCTGAGAGACTCTTGAGATCTTTGATGGGCACTAGTCACAAGCTGGTCAGAAAAGGAAGGCCACACCTGCCTCTTCCCCTCCACCCGAGAAGACCATTAGAAACAGATCTGAGGGGAGGCTGCTCCTAGGGAGTAAGGTGGCCCCCAGGAGGACAGGGCAGGGTGGGGCCTGCAGTGGGGCAGGGCTAGAGACTAGATAGAGCCTGGTTTGCAGAAGCAGAGACTGCAGTGCCCCGCAAGGCAGACTGTGGGAGCAGAATATGGGGTCTGCGTCCTTGCCTGGCTAGAATCCCAAAGGGGAAGGTGCAGAGATCCAGACTTCAGCTCAAGATCAGTAAGTTTTCTTCTTGAAGAGATGAAATGAGCCAGTTCATTCCACTGTTTTCCCTGGCCCGAGCTCCCAGGTTTGCAGGCATTGAAGGCCAAGCAGAGGGTGATGTACGTGCCCGTGAGGCTGGCAGAGGCAAGGTGGCCTTCCTAGAGACTTGGGGTTCTGGCCCCAAAGTTTACAGACCTAAAAGCTGATGTCCCCCGTCCAATAATAGCAATAATAATATTAACAGCTTCTCTGTGCTGTGGAGCCTCTGGATGGTATACAGCTAATGTGCTCAGTCAGCTGCTAGCTGGAAGTTTGGTGGTTCAGGTTCACCCAGGGTCATCTAGGAGGAAGAGCCTGGACACCTGCTTCTGAAAAATGACCTCCCAGAAGAGTCCCGTGGTGCACACACAGGGCACCAGGAGCAGGGACCCACTCGCCGCAGTGCTGGAGGTGCTGTGGAGTTGGGTGTCTGGGGTAGGTGTGTTGGCAGGGCCACCCAGCTGAAAGGCAGAGCCAGATTTTAAGCCCAGCTTTGACACACTTCCACCCCTCCTCTGGTTGAGGAGAATCTAGTGACTTTCCCAGTTCACTCAAACAAAGACCCCTTGGTTTTCATCTGAGAATCCTTGGAGACAGGACCACAGCCCTGTCCTTCCTCCCCACCCCCGTGTGGCTGTAAGCTTGGAAGTATGAGGGGGGTCTCTATGATCCACGGTGGATCCCCTGGATCAGCACACTGCCCACTCTTGTCTGACTTCCACACTCCAAGCTGCTGTTGAATGTTCACTTGAAGTCAGGTTTCATAACTGGGCAGAAACATGCCAGTTTATCTGCAGTTGGGCCAGGGGACCAGCACTGGCTCTCAGCTGCCCTCCCAGGCTGCCCTTAAGTGTTGTCACTGGCGTCTGAGCCTTCTGTGTGCCAGACCAGCCTGGAGCCAGCCCCTTCATCTACATATGGCCCACAGCTGCCTCTGACCAGCTCCCACCCCATCCCCCGCAGGGATCCTGCTGCAGGCAAGGGGTCTGGGCCAGGGCTGAGGCTGGAGGGAGCGGCATCTCTGTTACCAAGAAACAGCTGCTTAGGGTGGAGGTGCCTAATAGCTTCCATAAATTTTCCAGGGAACAACTCTTGTTGGCTGTGGGGAACCAAGTAGAAAGACAAAGGGGGGCAGGAAAGTTACCTGCCCATTGTGTTCCTGTTTGCCTCCTGGTGCCTCATCTGCAAAGCAACCTAGCCCTCTCTGACTCCTCCTGGGACCCTGCAAATGAGGCACAGTGAACACCCTATTTTATAGGTGTGGAAATAAAGGTTCCCTGGGCCCACACACAGAGGGAGTGGCACAATGGGACTTGCAAGCACCTCCCTGCCCTCTCCCTCCTTTCCTTGTTAGGAAAGGTGACATGAAGACGCTCAACAAGGACACAGGTACTGTAACATGCCTCAGGATGTGGGGTGTGTGTGCCTGCTGCCCACCTGCTGTGGCCAGGCTCATTCCAGTGCAGCGCTTCCCTGAGTGCCGGGCTGCAGAGCAGGGCGACAGGCAGGGAGAAGAGCCCTGGGCCCAGGAGCCTGGAGAGTCAGATGCACACCTGCTCCCCTCAATGTGCAGCTTCTCTCTGGGCTTCGGTTCTTCATCTGGGTCAGCCCCACCCCACCCCATCCTCCCTCTACACAGGCTTTTGGGAGCTTCAGGTGGTGGCTGCTCTGAGCACGGGGAAAGGGTTGTTGTTGTTATTAGGTGCTGTGGAGTCCAGTATGACTTTCAGCAGCCGTATGAACAACAGCTCTGAACCCTGTTCTATCCTGTGCTGTCCTGTCATCTCTGACACACTCCAGCCCGTTGCTCCAGTCACTATGTCAATCCATCTCACTGAGGGTCTTCCCCTCTTCCACAACCTTTCCCCTTTCCAACTATGATGTCCCTCTCTAAGGAATAACCTTTCCTAGCAGCATGCCCAAAGTATTTGAGACGAAGCGTCACTATCCTGCCTCCAGGCTGTCTACACTTGGGCCACCTGCGTCCCTGAGCACTTCAAGAGCTGTGGTCTCCCCACCTAGCTTGGAGGCCAGACACTGACACTGGGGCACGGGCTCAGTGGACGGGCATCTGGACCTTCAAGACTGCCCACTCTGCACTGTCTGTGTCTCACTCCTCTGTCTCCAGCCCTTCTTGCCACACCTTGTCCCATCTCTCTCTGCCTTTCTTGCATCTCTCACTCTGCCTCTATCTCTATACACATCCATGTGTGTGTCTCTCTTCGCTTCTCTTTGGTCTCTGTGTCTCTGACTCTGTATGTTTCGTTCTCTCAGCTGCTCTGTCTCTCACATGCCACCTTCCCACACCTGTTTGCTCCTCTCCTTCTGTTCCCTGCCACAGAGACCCTTGGAGAAGCCCGATGGCCTGGATGTGTCTGACCAGAGCAAGGAGCACCCCCAGCACCTTTGTGAGAAGTGCAAAGTCCTGGGCTACTACTGCCGCCGTGTGCAATGACCTCGCTCCAGCCTTGACCCAGCAGAGGAGGGACCTCTAGACTGTGTCCCCGTGTTGCCAAGTGTCCCCGTGAGCTGGGGCTGCCCCGCAGGTCTGCCAGCCTGGAGTCTTGTCTCATTCATGTCGACTAACAGTGTTACTGAAATAGCTACTTCCACAGAGGACAGAAGACAGGTCACTGGCCTACAGCCTGTGGATGGCACCAAGGTGAGAAGTCAGCCACGTGACCCCCAAACCCCTCGAAGTTCATGTAGCCTTTATTTGGGGTGAGCAGGCTTGCATGGGCCACCCAAAACCCGACTGCCATTGAGTCCATTCTGGCTCATCGTGAGCCTGTAGGACGGGGGCAGACCTGCCAGAGGGTTTTGTGGCTCCCCGTCCTCCCCAAGGCTCACCTTTCTCCCTGGAGCAGCGAGTGGGCTCCAACCCCCGGGCTATGGGTTAGCGGGCAAATGCTTTACCGCAGTACCACCAGGGCTCCCTTATTGGCCACATGTGCACTAAATTTACTGTGAATCCAAGAGCCTGGAGTAGGCTGTCTCCCGAAACTGACGAGGCAGCCTCCCCTGACCCCAAACCTTCCAGTTTGTCCTGTGTGAAAAGCCCCCTCCGAAGCCCTGTTTCCTGTCCTCCTCAAGTCAGCAGCTGCCCTGAGGTAACATCTCTTCCAGCAGCTGCCAGAGGTGGGCATCTTCGCTCCTTCTAACTTTAAAACCCAAACCCTGACCTCTTCTGATGTCACTGGCATTGCCCCTGTGTGTTGCGCCCCCACCTCCAAGCCCATGGACCCAGATGGGCCGATGTCAAGAGCAGAGGAGACAGAGCATTGAACAGGGTGCACAGATGCTGTGTCTTGTGGTGGCATCTCCCACCACCCACTCATGTTCTTAGGTTGCGCATCCCCTTTCCCGTCCACCCTCCCGCCTCCCTGGGGGTTCTCTCCTGACTGAGATGGTAGAGCCCAGGGTGGAAACCGCTCTGATAGAAAGACAAAGACCTGGAAGTTTGGAGACAGGTTTGGATTGTGGCTCTGCTGCGTGCACCACTTGCCCAGGGCTTCAGGTTTCCGTTTCCCTGTTGGCTAAGTGAGAACAGAGACCCACTTTAGTGGCAGTATTTTAGGATTCAGGCCAGTGCCGCCTCCTGGAGCTGAGCTTCATCTGGAGCCTCTCACTGGGACCTTGGGGAAAACCCCCCCAGGCACCCTGTATCCCACCACATCGTTCCTTAGGTCACCCTGTAGGATATTTGCAGCCCCCAGGGAATGCATGACCCCTGCCCCTACTCCTGCAAAAATGAACAAGAGGTCCTTCCTCATCACCTAGGCCTCAGTTTCTCTCACAGGGCACCCCTGAGACAAGCCACAGCACCTCTCTCTGTAAATGATTTCCTACCTCCCGCGGGAGCAGAGAGGCCTCAGGCCTGTAACAGTGGTCACGTGGGCCGCTGTCCTGGCCAGCCAGTGGGGCCACACTCCTCTCTCCTCAAAGTAGAAGCTCGTTCTCACTGCTAGAACGCCTTTCCTTGCTCTGGGGAGGGAGTGGACCAGCTGTCAGGACTAGGTCACTTGGTTTTGCCCCAACATTATGCCTCTGTGGGAAAAAAAAAATCAGACCAAGAAATAGGCCTGAAATTCAGTGTTTACCTTGGCCTGCGGACACCAATGGTGCCCGGGCTTTTTGTTTTTAGATGAAAATGCATTGTACAACTGAAGAGTTACCGTGAAGTGTTAACCAAGAGTCCAGGGAGGGTGGTGGCAGAGATGGATTGAGTGAACTTGCAGCCGAGGGGCTGCGGGGTAGATTTGAAGAGGTGGGGCTGCCTCGCCCTCTGAGCACTTAAAGGTCTATTGGTTCCAGCATGAGCACCATGGCAGTGTGCCGCCACCCACCAGGACAGAGCACTCAGCAACAGACCCAACACCTTCGCCGCCCACTTAGGAATCCCTGTCCAGCCGTCCCTGGATTTCTCCATGGTAGGCCCACAGCTCTCTGTCCCCCGGGAGAAACTGTTGCTGTCACTCATGTTCCCACACATCTAAATCTAACGTTCACAGTGGTGGTGAGCACCAGGTCCTGCTCTCCGGTCCCATCCCTTCTAGGGACCCTAGGATGCCTGGGGCTGGCCAACTGTGCGGAGAGGTGGGGAGAGCCCGTACCCCAAAATGGACCAGGCTCTGGACTGCTAGAGGAGATGGCCTGTCACCTACAGTGACTTCTGCAGCTCGTCCAGCTGGCTGCCATCAGCTCTGGCGTGTGTGTGCAAACACAGTCCCTCCTCACCCCCTCCACCCCTACACTGTTCTGGCTGAAGTTGAAAACTTGGTGTGATCAACAAAAGCCATCCTTATCCGGGCCAGGTGCTCTAGAACGAAGTGCTTAGAGGCTTGCAGAGGCCAGGGGACAAGAAAGCATGTGGTTTGAGTATGTTCAAAAGGGACAGTCGCTTGCAGTTAATAGTCTAGTAATCGAGATGGAAAATAATGGTGTTTACCCCATATGAAGTATTCAATAGTTCTACTTGTGAATTTGTATTTATTTTTAGTTATACTTGACACAGAATTCCTTTTTTTAAAAAAAAAAAGTATGTGTGTATTTTGAAAAAAATCATAGGTGTTAAAATTTCTGCATGGTTACCATTTTTTTTTCTCTCTTACAACACTGAATTTATTAGCTTTCCCCAAAAAGATCTTCCCAGTGATTTTTGTTTGTATATATTTGAGGGCCATTTAAAAGGGGAAAAAAAAGGAAAATATAATTCCTAGATTTTTTTTTAGATTAAAGCAAACGAAAAAAAACAAAATGAGGCATTTTCAAGATGTAAGAGCCTTCAGGAGGGCAACGGAATATCCAACAGAGATTTCTGGAACTATTTTGCAAACCTTCTGGTTTAGCTTCCAAGAAAATATTTTTTGTGAGAACTTCTCTTTTTCCTTGTGTTGGTTTTTTTGGTTTGTTTTGTTCTTTTACTATGCTTTGGTCTGTAAAAAGTATACAACTTAGTTACATTAAGAAGGAAATATTGTCTGCATAGAATATTATATGAAATGGGTACATAATTCTGATGAGGAAAAAAAAATCCTTGAGATTCTTAAAGCCATATTGTCATTACCCTGTTATTCCCCTTGGATGAAAATATCAATATTAAGTCACCAGCATATTATTCAAATGCCTTAGACGTATTAATATGTTCCTGTCATGTATTTATATGTATGTGTGTTTTGGAAAGTATTGCATTTTGTAAGGGAAGCTATTATTAGACACATAGTGAAAAAGGGAATGATGAGCTCCCACTGCTTTGTGCCTCTTCACTTTACGCAAACGGCCACAGTTGAGGATGACAAGCACTGCATTGTAATGCATCTTCCTCACCTTCTTATTACTATCTTGTTGTTATGGTTATTAATTTTGTAGAGGGCAAGGATGGGCCGGGGAAGAGGGAACATGTAACTAGTCTGGCATGGGAAGTCAGCTCCAAAGACGGCCTCCGTGGCATGGCGGAGGGCCCCCAACGGCAGGACCCAATGTGAGAAGAGGGTGCCGGAGGTGGGCGCATCTGCACCATTCTGGGTCTTTGCCGTCTGAGCTGTGTGCCATCTGCCACTGGCCCTCATTCTCTGTGAAGTTACTTGGATTTGCCAATCAGCACTTTGGCCCCTGCCATCCATCATCTAATAGACCTACTCTGAATGAATAATCGAAAATCACTACATCATCGTAACCCCACGTAGCAACTAACCCTGAGAGTCAGGAGTGTTCCAGCCTTCTGAGATGGCTCCGAGCAGCCCCCCTGACAGGCAGCGGGTGTCGAAATGAACTCTGGGTCCTGCCACGAGCCCCACAAGTCAAACATCACCAGCTGCTCCTCCCCTCTCGTATGTCTGTATCTGTTAATACATATGTGTCCAACTAAAAAGACAAACAGAACCTGGGGTCCCAGCTCAGAGGGGTCTGTGGAGAAGGATCTGGACCTTTCTGAGTACTACCCTTGGGATGGCATTCCGTTGTGTGCCTTATTCCTGGAAAATCTGTATACGGCTTGCCTAGAGAAATAGAGCCTTTCTTTGCTGTATTAAAGGGACTTTTAAAAGTGAATGAGGCTCTTGGGTGTTACTGTTTGCTCAGAGCACCAGTGGGGGAGGACATTCACAGATGCAGCAAGAGACAAGGGGAATTTCCATAGCTTTTGCCTCCAGCTCCATCCTGGTCATCTTGTCCTTCCCTGCCTTTCACGCCCTGCATTTGCCTCCTCAACACCTGGGCCCCCAGTGGACAGTGTCCCATGCAGAGCCCTCCCTAAATTGGGTCCCAGACAGGGTAAGATTGTCTGCAGATTACGTCACTTGTTGAGGCAGCAATGGGACTCTTGTTAGCCATATATAGGAGTGAATCTTCCTCCAGACAGCCGCCTGCACTTGGCACTCTCAGCCAACACTGTGATTTGAGCCCCAGACTCTGAGCATATAGCCAGCAAACCGACACACCTCAGGCCTTCTGCAAAGGGGAGCCCTCCTCTGAGCAGGTGAGATTGGGCAGTCCATCCTGAGGTGGGACCTCAGCTGAGGGCCACACACAAGAAGCCTGCGCTCACAAGAGCAGAGGCCACAGTACAGAGAACCTCTCAGAAGGGCTTGGCATTGTCAACCTCACATGCTGCCAGGATCCCTCACTTATCACTGTTCAGTCAGATCCAACTCATAGCTGATCCTCCATTGGGTTTCCAAGACTGTATATTACACAGGAAGAGATTGCCCACAATTCTTCCAAAGAGTTGCAGGTGGATTTGAACTGCCCACCTTCATATTGACAGTGAAACTGCCTACCCACTAGGCCACCAGAGCTTCCTAGGATTATTAAATATACTTCAGCCTAGTTACACTTCATAAGAAATTGATTTGGAGAGTGTCCTCCGGTTTGTGAGGGCCCCCTGGGTCAGTCCAGCATGCAACCAAGTTTGAGGAGCACTTACCATGGTCCTGAAGGCCCCTGCAGGGTCTAGTG